TCGAATGGCGAAATACGTGGCAGCGCCTTAATGTACGTGAGGCAGTGTTTTATTTATTATAGACCATTGATATCGTCAACTTTTAATTTGCGCGCCTATTAAGTAGAACTACCTTCCTTTGCAACCCACTGGGCATTTTTAGGTATGTAAATTGGGCTTATGTTTAACTATTGTGATTAAGTTTATGTTTACTTTATGCGAGATATGAATGAAGAACTTTACTGCTCATTAACGCTACGCGTAATTTTCAAAAAGAAAATTTTCATAAAAACAGGTTCAGAATTGTTTAAATGCAGGAACGAGCATGAACAAATTGTCAAATACGAAATTATACTGTTTTTTTACGTTCATTTGTAGATTTAAATAAATTATTGGTAATAGTGGCAGCCCCCCGTTAAGATATTACCATGGCATTTATTAAGGGAAAGTTGAAAAATTTGGACCGCATCCTAATAACTGGAGGGGGTCTGGTACCATCTAGCCGACAATAAAAGTATTATTACTTTTTTTTTTTGTTTCGCTGACGCGTGTTTATAAATCTCCAAAAATGAAATAGTTACGTTTGTTTTAAAAAATTCCAACTCGCTAATGTAACGATCCATGTTCTTAAAGTTACCCGTAAGAGATAACCGGCTCAGCAATCTTTGATATTGTCTTATTTGCAAAGAATAGACAATGGAAGGCACGATACTTAGGTGCATGATCGACGTGTAAATATTTCAAAATAATCGAAACACCACCTTTACAATAATTGTTCTTTGGAAAAATGGTGGTCCAATTTCGGAGACCGGGTTTCCAAAATGAACTCTTGTCAACGTTTACGTTTCTTATGATTTTCACAATTTTAATTTTTTTAATTTAATCCCACGTTACGTTAATTGCATTTTTTATTCGTAAATAAAAGTATGAGTACACAACTTTCCACGATGAATTTAACGAAAATCAATTGACTTAAATATGAAAAACATATTTTTAGGTAAATGGTCAAAGTTAGGCAACCTTGCCTTAAGGGGTTCCACCACTTTGACGCATCCAAAATTTACGGTTTTTCAAGAATTTTTTTTTTTAAGAGTTGAAACGTTTTTATCCAAATTAAAGTACAGTAAGGTATTATATTACTATTAAACTCGCTCACTGCGAAAATCGGTGATCGTGCGGTGGACAGGTGTATAGGTGTAAACGCGTTTTTCTTAAAACTGCATTTTAAAAATCGGTGGGCACTCTAGCTCCGCCAATTTTCAAACAATCCTCTTGATTCTTTTTTTATTTTATTCGCGATATGTTTATCTAGCGAAATACGTATGGTTTTTTCAATGTATTGATATTCGCATTTTTTATGCAACATTAATTAACGAAATTTAGGGCAAAATACGTATCTTTCCTTTCAAATCGATGCCATTTTGTGAAAAATGCATATTTTTCGAAATGGCTACGTATTTCGTTAGCTTTTGGGCTACAGAAACTAATTCTTTTTCGCTTATTGTTCTAACTTAAACCTGGACTGAGTTATCGTGCCCACCGCACGATCATCGATTTTCGCAGCGCTCCGGTAAATCGCCTTTGAAGCCGCCATTTTTGTAAATAAAAAAACACAAAAAAAGCATTTTTTGTTTGTTTAATAGTAGTATAATACCTTACTGTACTTCAATTTGGATAAAAACGTTTTAATTCTTAAGAAAAAAATCCTGAAAAAACCGTAATTTTTGGGTACGTCAAAGTGGTGTAACCCCTTAATCGATGCCTCGAAGTCAAGACGTAAAAAGAGACGTTTGAAATTTTCCGGTGGGAATTCGGTTAGACTTTTCACGTTTTCATTGAATTAACGATGCCGTAGCAATCGGTGGATGTGTAAAATGTATGGTACTAGCGGCACATGTTTGTAATAACACGTTTATTGTCGAATTATTGCCTTGGCCCCTGCATCGTCCGTCATAGATAGAACTACTGATACATTTCGTGATTAACCAGATTGATCATACCCTAAACTTTTTAGGCAAATGTCATTTGTTCCACAGAATACCCGTCGGGGATTCAACACGTGCCTCCCCTGCCTCTGACTTCACAATCCTAAATAACCGATTTGTCTTTATTCATCCCTAAAGTTCATTGTTCATTTTTCACGTGAAATAATTGCGGTACGCTCTTACGGAATACAGTAGGAAGGGCATTTAATATTTCATGAATTGCACGGTTAATATTGTTCTTTCTCATCTTTATGAGCAGAAATGCAACTAACACGCGACGCGGATACAAATAATTCTAAACAAAATTGTACTTCAACATGTCGAACGCGAACATCTACAAAAGACGGAAAATTAGGCAACGCTCATTCAACGCTGGTTTTTGTTGCCTGCAACAAGAACAAGACACATGTTCGAAAAACTTACCATTATCAACTGTTCGTTAAAATTACCCACGGGACAACTATGTTGTTCTATTCGAAGATACAACCATTTCTATGTTCCGCTTCTGATCGCCAATATAGTTGAACGAACGTACTAGCAATGAAAAATGGAAATACAACGTAGTCCAACAAGCATGACGCATGCAACATTGTTGAACCAAAACTCGAAAGCCTTGTCCACTAGATATGAAAAAAAGCAACGTTCATTCAGCATCGTATTGTTGCCTGCAACGATATTGACATGCGAATGATTTGAAAATACAGTAGAAGGACAAGCTACAATTCGACGTCGATTTGGCTTATAACATTCTAATAGCGGATTTAAATATATCGATTTGTCTCTAGCCTAATTTACGGATCCTAATCGGCCAATGCCCTCGATCAAAATCTCGTTTATGGAAAGGTGAAGAGAAATGCACTTCATTACCTCGTTAAATTTCTTCGCCGAAACATACGGATGTACGAAAATCTTCCTGGCCTAATATACAGAGAGCGTATATATCTAAATGTAGCATGACAAATGTTATTGCTCTCAAATCTGATAAATGTTGTATGTCGAACATACGGTATAATTAATCGAAGCTCGTTATGCTTATGACGTAGGTTATCGACAGGTTTCAAGGCTGATATTTTGCGCTCGAGTAGAAGCTACCTTTTAGAATTCTACATTCCGCTTTCGATTGTGTCTATGTTACCGTGAATGACCGAAATTGGAGAATGTCGACTTTCACCGGTGAATGTTAACCGATACCAAATACGTCGGTGAAAGATCGAATACTTCATTACATTGTTGTACATTCGGACCCTCTCCAGTGTGTGTCGACAATCACGCACCGGTGAATGTCAACATTTACCGGTGTAAGTCAGAAATAAGGGTATTTAGCAAATATTTCGGACATACACGAAGCGACTATGTGAATGTTGACATTCACCGGTGAAAGTCGACATTCTTCAGATTTCGGTGTTTCACTGTAACATCTACATAAGTCTTCTAAGCCGTAGGACCCTTGCCAAAAGACTTGCATAATCTCCACATTCAATGACTAGACTGCTATGTCCAGTTTAAATAATGGGACAAAATCCTTTCTTTCGCTAGACTTGTTTCAACAATTCTCAGGAAAAATGGGCCTTCCAAAATATGTATTTAAATCATCCTCGTAATCAATAGTTCAATTCTTTCTTCTTTACTTAGTATCAGATCTTTTTCTTCGGAAAAACTTCCAGGTTTTTCTATTGAGAATTAATGTCATGCAATTCTCATCTATGTAGATAATATCCTGAGAGCAAAATAACAAAGCAAAAAGTGAATTATATACATGATTTATCTATTTTACAGTGAAATTAATTCATCGTGATGTACGTGCAGTAAAGTAACCTTCTATGCGTGCACAATGTATTAATATATTTGAGCTTTAATTTTTTATTTATTTGAGAATTACGTAGATTTTAAAAAATTTCCATTTAATAACGTCAACGTTGTGTAAAAAAAGAACAAGTGAGATTAAAAACAATGTCAACTGATTAACGTGTTGCCAAGAAGAAACGTACAGTTCTCATTAACGGGCAATTCAAGGAATGAATATAAAAATTAAAAAACTACAACGAGTACGAAAAACGCCGCTTTTAAGGGCGTTTTACCCCTCTGAAGTAAGTAATTTTTGGGATGATATCCAAAAATATTCACGTTACTCCTGAACGATTGAAACAAATTAAAATGAACACCACAATATTCAGTAGTAACAAATGCTAGGACATTAAACTTACAAAAACACATATGCAAAGCTTGTGTGGTGCAAAACGATGCTGCAACTATTAATCAAATAAAGCACGTTATATTCTACGAGCCCACAACGAATCGAATCTATCATCTTTGAAGAAAAATTCAATATTTCACATTTTACTCGTAATATTGCTTGCACGCAGGTAAGACCACGGATATCAACGTAACACGTTTCTATTTTACCATGGAAGAAAATGACAATTATCCCAATAGAGTTGAATACGCGCGCGTTACTGTATGCTTTTGGCGTGATGCTCCACCCTGTCAACAATAGGTTTACGGGACCCGTCAATTTGACGGAATTCAAACTTCAAAAAGAAACACCAAAAAAACCATAGCATTAATTTTAACCATTTTTGTATCGTAAATTAATCATTTCATCCAAAGAATTTGTACACACAATTATTTTTTCCTAAGCCTTGTAATGATTAAAATCTGTATGTAGTATACCTATCTCTACGAAACCCGTCAAATTGACGGACTAGCTAATTTCATAAACAATCCATATATATTTGCTTCGTTGCAGAGAGTGTAAGGCGAAGATGAGAGTGAAAGTTTGCATCGAAAGTGGAGAAATAGAAGGATCTTCGGACAGTGAAGAGGAAAACTTCTTGAAAAGGTGTCGTAACAAGAAAAGGATGCGCATTCTTTCTAGTTCTGACTCCGAGGATGAGAAGGCGAGCATTCCAATCATTTCCGTGATAATTTTTAAAAAAGGACTTTTTACTTATTAATCATTCATTTAAACGTAAAGCCTAGTGTTGTTTAATTCAGACTTAATTTGAATGAATCGATTTTTTAATGAAAATGCGTGTTTTCGTTTACCCGTCAATTTGACGGATGCTCGTAGAAACAGATATATATAAAACGCCCGTAAACCTAGTGTTAATTCTGTTCTTCCGTCATTCATTTTCTGCAAGTCTTCAAGCAAAGATCCCTATGGGCACCTAAAGATGAGTTTCAAGTGTAGACTTCAAGGATCTCGATTTCGTGAATACAGCCGATATTCTGTATCTCAGGTAAGGAATTACGCTTTCACATGGAAGACACCAAGTACATGAAATAATGAAACTAGTTTCAGCACTAGCAAGAAACAAGACGGCTGGTTGCGAGTAACGTTGATACATGAAATGTAGAAACCATCCAATAAGAATCTGGATATATAACGCTATTTCGATATTACACTTGAAACTACAAATAACTTGAATGTGAATGATGAAACGTTTGTTCAAGCATTTGCGTAACTAATCACAAGGAATGCACACCCCCTTGTGAAAAGTATCGTGTAAGTGAAAATGACTGAGAAAGTAGCGCTGTCTTTTCATCCAGAATCATATTCTAAAGTTTCTACTTAAATGTATGAGTAGCAGTATATGTACTTGGCGCGGAATTCAATCGCGCCTCTTAACCAAGCATCTTCTACTATTGGTTCTTTACACGGCTCGGTGTGAATATCTCTAATCGAACTTGATCTGAGTTTCGAGTCTCGACTGACAGTTCCCTTTTGTCAATAACGATGACATTTCGTGGGTCAAGTCGAGTCGCGCATTCGCATGGAAGACGCCATGTACATCGAGTATTCTACTTCGCTTCAGCACTAGCAAGAAACGAGACGGCCGGTTGCAAGCAGTACTTTTCCGCGTTGGGCAAGCTGCACCCTGTAGTGGAGTATAGCAGTTCGAAGTATTAGGAAAAGTCATTCGAAAGACATGAGGTTGGCTGGTAATGGTTTTCTTTCCGTTGCTCCGCGTACCACCGCGCGCAGTTCCTTCAGCCATTGCTCCGCTAAGTCGCCCGAACCTGCCCGAAACTTATAAACGTTTCCTGAAATAAACGTTATCTTATTTCTTGAGAACGATTGCGAGTAAGCGGATAGGTAATACGGATTAGGAAAGAGTTCAGTATAATTGTCTCCCCTGTCCTAATCGAAGCGTACATATGATCCAATACTAGACAAGATAAATTTACTCTGTAATGAACCGTAGAAAATTAATGTTTTCTTATAAACGTTTCCTGAAATAAACGTTATCTTATTTTTTGAGAACGATTGCGAGTAAGCGGACAGGTAATACGGATTAGGAAAGAGTTCAGTATAATTGTCTCTCCTGTCCTAATCGAAGTGTACATATAATCCAATACTAGACAAGATAAATTTACTCTGTAATGAACCGTAGAAAATTAATGTTTTCTTATAAACGTTTCCTGAAATAAACGTTATCTTATTTTTTGAGAACGATTGCGAGTAAGCGGACAGGTAATACGGATTAGGAAAGAGTTCAGTATAATTGTCTCCCCTGTCCTAATCGAAGTGTACATATGATCCAATACTAGACAAGATAAATTTACTCCGTAATGAACCGTAGCAAATTAATGTTTTTCTTGGGTTCGAATTTATGTTCGTGATCAGCGGACACAATCGCATCTGGATACACAGAATGAATCTATTGGTCCAAAATCGATGGGCGTTATGTTAGCTCGTTTAGCAATAAACAGAAATGGAGAAACATTCCTCGATCGCATGATCGGGTTGTTTCACCCCTTAAATGTGGACCATTGCAGATATTCTTATTCTATAAACTCTATGTACACAAGACCCTATATTCCTAACTGACGCTAAAACATGCAAGAAGACCGACATGTCAAGCATAATAGGTAAAATAAACGACCATAAGTACAAATAACTATGTTTTGAAATAGATTCAAAAATCAAAAACGCTATGTGGACATTTAAAATTTACGATGATGTATTAGTTATGGTAACGATAATGAAGTGAAATTTTACTATACAAGTAGTAATCATTTTCTTAGTAAAAATTAATATATAAAAGTTATTCGTACTAAAGAAAAATATAGTAAATGTAGAATAGTTAATTCATTGCTTTCAAGAAATAAAAAATAAATAGCAACTGTTCCTAAATTTCCTAGTTCAGAAAAAAAAGGGTAATTTTACTATAAAAAGTATCCGAGCCCTTTTCGAACTATGAAAACAAGTTAAAAAAAATGATTTAACTTGAATTTTCTCTCAGTGTAGCCATGTTGAAATCAATTTGTATAAAAATAAGTAGCACAAAGATCTGAAGAATAAACCATTACATTCCTTCAGTTATCAGATGATTTTGTGTGCTATAATGCTTATTATTGATTTCAAAGAAGCGTTCGCATATCATTAATATGAATGATATCAACATTTAAAACGTTGTAAAAAGGGTTCACTAGTTACTTTTCATTTTATACGTATATAATATATATTATAATAAGTATTATAGCACACAAAATCATCGTAGTATTGTGAAAAAATGATAGTATTGTGATCTATCCATTCCGAATTAAACACTATCATTAAAACATATTAACCCGAAACATAAGAACAGTACGGTAAATTGAAAAAAAAATGTTCTCTTGCTTTACGTGCACTACTGTTCAACTTCCTCTGTACACAACCCAGCCCGAAAAATGAAAAGTAACTAGTGAACCCTTCGAATTCTTTTTACAACGTTTTAAATGCTGATATCATTCATATTAATGATATTCGAACGCTTCTTTGAAATCAAATAAATAATTGTCATTATATATTTCTTCCTGCATTTACTTATTGTAAATATTCCCTTGGAATAACAATTTCTGACGAACCTCGGCATCAAAAATTTGTCATTTTGTCTTTTTGTTTTAAATAGCATGCAATTTGTTTGTTGCGAAACTCAACACTCTAAACTAAAATCCGCATAAAACACCACTGATTATGCCAACCTCAGAAAAAAGTCATTTTCAGTAAAAATTGCAGAAAAACATTCAAATCATAATGTTAAATGTCCAATGAGGTTCTCCATTTAAATTCAATTATATTATAGACTCATAAGAACCGCCTGCATTAAATAAAATAGTCATCTAATAGGTTCATATGTTATAAATCATGCAACTAATTGCGTATATTGTGGCAAAACAAAGTTATTATAGTGAAATCACCTTTGAGCGGATCCGACAATAAGAACGTGTCGGGATGTAAGGAGCAGTCTAGTGGTTCGACGATCCATCCCAATATTGACACCATTTTGTAAGGCTCCCGTTTAAAGTCCGATCTATCGTTACTAAACAAAATCAAAAAATTCTTCATAACATACGGTAAAAGGTATTATTAGTCACTTCTCTAATAATATTCAACAAAATGCCCTGCAATAATGGTTTCATTAATCATGCAACAGTTCGTCTAATAGAGAGTGGGATGAAATATTCGAATTGTTGTACAAAGAAGCCCGCTAATTTATCAATTGTCGTTTCTTTTTTCATATGTAACAAATGTCATAACATTGTTATTGATGCACTTTTTACAATCACGGTATACCTTATATGTTCGAAATGGATCTTTTCAACAGCATATTACTAGATCTTTCTATGCCGTCTAATTGTCAAACTTATTTTGAGTTTACTATGTCAATGTAGACATTGAAATCATAACGTATAGTACTGAACACATCAAAGTAAACTATTGGGTTGTTCGGAAAGTAATTTTGTTGTTTCCCGACAGAGGACTTAATTTTTTTTTTTCACGGCCAACTTCACACTTAAGCCGCATAATCATTATATACTTTGACAGCTGATCTAGCAAGGCTTGCTTGTGAAAAAGTTTGATTGATTCTACGCAGTAGTTTTTGGTTGGTACCCTTTCAAATATGAAAAGTGAATAGCGGCATTTTCGGCATATTTTACTTTTTTACCATCGAAAAGGTAAAAATGCTGTTCGAGGAAGAAAAAAATTATCCGACGTGTATGGAGAAGATGTATTGACGGAACGCCAGGGTCAAAACTGGTTTGCAAAATTTCGATCCGGCAATTTTGATATCGAAGATGCACCACGTTCTGGAAGGCCACTTAAAGCTGATGAAAACACAATAAAGGCATTAATTGATGCAAACCGGCGGATAACAACTCGTGAAATCGCTGAGAGATTAAATTTATCGAATTCGACCGTTCATAATCATTTGAAACGCCTAGGTTTAATCACAAAACTCGACATATGGATTTCTCGTGTTCTTACGGAAAGAAATTTGTGTCATCGCATTGACGTCTGTGATTTGCTTCTCAAACGTCAAAAAAAATGATCCATTTTTGAAGCGCATCATCCCTGGGGACGAGAAATGGGTTGTCTACAACAATGTTACCCGCAAGAGATCATGGAGTAAAAAAGATGAACCGACTCAAAGAACTTCGAAAGCCGAAATTCATCAAAAAAAGGTGATGGTATCTGTTTGGTGGGATTTCAAGGGAATCGTTTTTTTTTTGAAATTCTACCGAACGACCCAACGATCAATTCTGAAGTGTACTGTCACCAGCTGGACAAATTGAATGATTCACTTAAACGGAAGAGACCAGCATTGATCAATAGAAAAGGTGTAGTGTTTCACCAAGATAATACAAGACCTCATACAAGTTTCTTAACTCGCCAAAAGCTTCTACAGCTTGGATGGGATATACTGCCACCCCCATCATATTCTCCAGATCTGGCACCTTCTGATTATTACTTGTTCCAGTCTCAACAAAATTTTTTAGACGGTAAAACCTTTACTTCAAATGAGGAGGTCAAAAATCACCTGGATCAGTTTTTTGACAGCAAAAACCAAACATTTTATGAGCGTGGAATCATGCTCCTGCCAGAAAGATGGCAAAAGGTATTGGACCGGAATGGACAATATATAATTCAATAAAATATTTATTCGCTATAAAAAAATCGTCTTTCATTCTCATAAAAAAAAACGAAATTACTTTCCGAACAACTCAATAGTATAAAATCAAAGTCATAAATACCGTTGATTAACCGATTCAGCGGAAAAACACCCTAAATGGAATTGTAAAATATCCTCAATGTCGTAAACAATATCTTCAAGATTAATTTATGATTAGTTGTGTACATTTCACTAATAACGCAAGAAGAAATTTATTTGCACTTACCCTTTAAAACACTTTGGCGAGAAATATACAATCGAGGATGCCCAAAGTTGTATCCAAAATCTCTGCCAGGTAGATACTGCAGGTTTACGTCCATCTCTCAAGATTACCTTCCGACGCAATGAACCTTGCATACCATAGCACGGTTCTGAGGAGCTTTGTAGCTCACAAGGTAATATTGTTAATGTGCTGCAAAAATAGAAAAAAAAATACAAAACGCATATTTAATTCAGTGTATCAAATAGAAACGAAAAAATATAGAGCTCGGAAGTGCATACGAGATCTCTGCGTCTATTATAATTCGATCTTAAGGGGTTATACCACTTTGAAATTTTCAAAAAATCAAACAAATTTTTACGCGTTTATTTTACGCGTTTATACTTTAAGGGCGCTCACCACTCTAGCGATTTTGTAGGGCCTCACGGGGACAACAATTCCGAACGTATTTCTAAACCGATCGAGCTTAACGAGTGCTCATATCGAAAATGAAACGTTGACCTGTGTTTATGTGGGAGCGATTTTCGATAAGTGATCATTTTCATATAAAAAAAGTGCAAAGACATAATTTCAATGCCCTTTTACCTAGGAAGGAGGTGCTTGATCGAAAATCGTTCCCATATAAACACACGACAAGATTTTATCTTTAAAACAAGCAGTCGTTGAGCTCGATCGGTTGAGAAATACGCTCAAAATCGTTGTCCCCGTGGAGCACCTTTTTCAGGATTTTCGAGTTTCTCGCGAGGAATTTGGGCATTCTTTAGTAACCGTTGCCGACTCTAGGCGGAGCGTCCAACTGGCGTGTGCGTGCGGCTGGGGGTCACACACGTTTCGGCGCCTAGTCCAGAGGCGTCTAGCCGTTGTGTGAGTCCTATACGTGCAAAATACGCACACATTTTTCGCCCGTTGTTAAACATCGCCCATTATGCGTCGCGTCTCCCTCATCCGAGCGAGAAAGTACGTTTTGGTTGCCTCCCACCGAATTCGATGCTAATGCCATCTAGCGGTGGAAGTCATCGTCCCCACTTTGGTGGTGAACGCCGTTAAGGTGAAGTGAAACACCCTTCAAATCAGTCGATTCGAATACAACACTTTTTTTTTAAGGGTATTAGACCAAAGCGTCCGAAACTTTGACACATCACTCCTGATCATCTAAGAATTGTCCTGACACATTGAAAATTTGGAATTATCAAACAAATCTTTTTAACTCAGCCTAGACCAGAACCAAAATGGCGTCGAGCTCTCATATTTCGATGAATATACAATTATCGAAGGCTCTGATATGAGAATCGAAAGGGTCAGGACAATTTTACGACAATTTAGAACACTCTGGTAATCGATAAACTCGTATTTTAACGGGATAAAGGCAAAAAAAGTGTTGTACGCGCTTGTATGCCAAAACGATGGTAATACGAGGTCTCGGAGTGAAGACTTAATTGACCTGGAAATCACAGATGGCGCAGGGGGTCCCTCTGCAGTCAATTAGGGCCCCAGAAAGCATGAATCTAGAGGATTTCTGGAGTTTTACTTTGATTTCTTTATAATTATTGTACGGAAACGACATATGGTGTACGCCATTTGGTACAATATCCAATATAATTCGACACAGCTGTCAATATAAAAACGAACGTCGACAACGTAGGCATTTAGAAAGATCTTCTTTATCGACGTTGACCAAGTTCCTCGACATGTTTCACTTCACCTTAAACGCGAGACATGAGTAGGGTCGCTTTTAACGGTGCTTCAAAATACGTCTTTTAACGCTAAAAGTAAGATATGAGTAAGGTCCTTAGAATCTCGAGTGAAGACTTCCAGGATCTAGCTCAAACAATTCAAAATACTATGGAAATCGAATATTACAGAGTCGGATGGACAAGTATGGATATACTTATCATCAATTGACAATACTTTCATGAACGATTGTAAGAGAATGCTTCCTTATCCCGTGGGCAATACGTGCTCTTAGAGCGAAAATTTAGTTGGTCAAACATGACAAATGGTCCGTTGGTCTATTAGTGTATAAAAAATAAAAAATCAAAGGGATTCCATCAGTTTTACTTCGAGTTCCTTATAAAAATTCTACTGAAATAACATGTGGAGTACCTCATTTCGTATAATTCTCAATGCGGAGTGTAACAGATGTCAGTATAAATATAGATATCAACAACATGGCACGCCAGGTTGTTACCACTTGAGTATCAAAAATGGTGTTATCGTCGAAAAGGGTATGGGTGAAAATTGTTTTAGCTACGTCGATTAAATTTCTTTGAACCTTTCGGATCACCTTAAAACACCTCATTTTGTAATAATGAGAGAACCTGCAGACGAAAAATAACTCTATATTGTCGTACTTTCTATTTCTATTTTCTTTTTCTTCTCCACTGAAAAGTACCAGTAAAAAATGGGTAGTACAGCTAAAAGTACAATTAAAATGCAATAATTGCCGTTTACAACATTTTAAACATTCCATGAATCATAATTAAACTATGCTCCAGGTCTAAATATAGGCGAAGTATCCAGCCTTTCTGCTAAAACTTGTACAAATTTTAAATAGCGTTTTTACTTGATTAAACTTAATTTGGAAAGTACATAGAACTAAAACTAAGAAAGTAATTTTAATTACAAAATAAATATCTACTCTTGTCACCTTGTTTTTGAGAGTAAACTGCAATCTTCATTCAGCGTCTCCGTGGGAGATCCAGGAGAATTTCGATCAAGATCAACGATTTGCGAAATCAAATGCGGTTCTTCCAAAACGGAATCGTCAAGGAGATGCCGAATAGTTCCCTGGCCTGGCTCTAGTGGCACCGCTGCAGCTTTGCCAAAGATACTGTAACAGTTTTATTGGAAAAGTCAAAACAAAAGTAGAATGGAACTCTACACGTAACTCATTTCATGCAACCGTATCTTAACGCAGTTTACGTGACCGAATATATCATTCATTATTCTTCTTTAAGACTGAAAACTAATAATATCATCTGAATTAAGGTGATGATAAAATGTGAAAGTGGCATCCGAGGGGTCGACCGTTCATGAAACTTTTCTCCAAACTGAGTATACCGAATCGTTTCAAACTTTACAACACGAACATGGATACTATAAGGAAGGTCCTGACAGTCATGAAATTTCATTTTCTATAACAAAAAAAAAAAAACGAAATTACTTTCCGAACAACTCAATAGTATAAAATCAAAGTCATAAATACCGTTGATTAACCGATTCAGCGGAAAAACACCCTAAATGGAATTGTAAAATATCCTCAATGTCGTAAACAATATCTTCAAGATTAATTTATGATTAGTTGTGTACATTTCACTAATAACGCAAGAAGAAATTTATTTGCACTTACCCTTTAAAACACTTTGGCGAGAAATATACAATCGAGGATGCCCAAAGTTGTATCCAAAATCTCTGCCAGGTAGATACTGCAGGTTTACGTCCATCTCTCAAGATTACCTTCCGACGCAATGAACCTTGCATACCATAGCACGGTTCTGAGGAGCTTTGTAGCTCACAAGGTAATATTGTTAATGTGCTGCAAAAATAGAAAAAAAAATACAAAACGCATATTTAATTCAGTGTATCAAATAGAAACGAAAAAATATAGAGCTCGGAAGTGCATACGAGATCTCTGCGTCTATTATAATTCGATCTTAAGGGGTTATACCACTTTGAAATTTTCAAAAAATCAAACAAATTTTTACGCGTTTATTTTACGCGTTTATACTTTAAGGGCGCTCACCACTCTAGCGATTTTGTAGGGCCTCACGGGGACAACAATTCCGAACGTATTTCTAAACCGATCGAGCTTAACGAGTGCTCATATCGAAAATGAAACGTTGACCTGTGTTTATGTGGGAGCGATTTTCGATAAGTGATCATTTTCATATAAAAAAAGTGCAAAGACATAATTTCAATGCCCTTTTACCTAGGAAGGAGGTGCTTGATCGAAAATCGTTCCCATATAAACACACGACAAGATTTTATCTTTAAAACAAGCAGTCGTTGAGCTCGATCGGTTGAGAAATACGCTCAAAATCGTTGTCCCCGTGGANTTTTTAAAAATTCAAATTTCCTGAGTTTCGGGACCTTCTTTGGACCTTCCATATTCACATTGTCAAGTTAAAAACGATTCAGTACACTCAGTTCGGGAAAAAGTTTCATAAACGGGACCTCTTCACGCCACTTTCACATCACCTTAAACAGTAAATAACCCGGCGGACAATGTAATAATGATGTATTGCCGATGATAAATTAAAAAAAATTTATCGTAAAACTTGTAACAGATTCGGACAACAGATTCCAGATTCATGCTGGTGCAATTCTATGAACGCATTATTAGCTCCAGTTGAATAATTGTGAATAAAGAATGTAAGTCCAATGTTTTATTGTACAAGTTTTCTAATTTCCCTAGGATATAAAATGAAAATAATACGTCAACAATTGAGATAACACATCTGAAGTCAACATAAAATATACGCTGTTACATAATACCATGCTACACTTCATGGAAAATTCTATGATGCTTGATAGAATACGCTCGTGCCAAGCCATCATAACACCATGGAACAAGATGAAGACATTAAATACAGTGGTCAAAACTGATAACGTTTTTAATAATTTAGAACTCATTAGCTACCAATAACTTGCTCTTTAAAGTAATATAAGTGCAACATTTTTAATTTTAACAATAAATTCGCGACAATTACATTTAAGAATTTAATAGAATTGCGACTATGTACTCAATTAACCATGATCTGTCCATTTGTTGATTACTTTTTTAAATACGACATAAGCATTAGTTCGTAAGTGAAATTTATTAATTCAAAATGTATATAGAATAATGGAATGGTTGCGTGACATTTTCTTATATCATTTTTCCATTTTCCAATCCAGTCCGATGACAAACTGCCAAGAAAAAAATTCTTTGACGTTTCATTTCATTAAACAAACAAAATTAAATCCTATTTTCCAATTCTTGGTCTTGACCTTTTAATACGTTACCGAATGCATAATCAAACAATAGACAACAAAGGCTCTCATTTTGCAGCATCAGATTCAAACAGGCCGATAAAGCGAAATTTTTCTATAAGCATGAACGACTATGATACATGTCAACACAAGCTCTACCAAATGGATGTTCAGGATTTTTAGCGAAAAACTGAAATTTCGAACTTATACGTTTAGAAAAAAATATTTATAAGTGTTTTCTACTTAAGTAAAATTTGTATATGCGGTGCAAAGGATGCTACATTGGTCGGAATAACATTTTTTCCAACAAACGGTACCACCCCACTAAGAATACTCATAAGACACATCGCTAGATTTAGCAGCAAACAAAGATTTTATAAATACTCCGATTTTTAATAAAATATGTCATATGAAAACTTATGTGGAATCTTTCAAACTATCAACTTTTTCACTTTCATGGTATTTTCAAAATAATGTTTTATCGATCGAATTTACCCTAGTTACCCATTAAACTAGTTAACCATCACCTAAAATATTGGCCCACGAATGCTGAATGTATCTGTTAAACTTGACGTATTTACATTATTTTACATCTGTTATCAAATAATGGAAAACAATAACTTAACCTATTTCGTAATAAAATCGCTAAGCATTTTGGATGTCTCTTGTCATGTTTCACTACTTTAAGTTACGCAAGGAGCAATATTATTTCAATAATACGTATTGAATATAAAAGAAATACCGCAATTTAGTACAAATGTTGTTTTTTTGTCTATTTTCGTGTTACGAAACGTTACGTTAACAAGATACATAATTCGCTAAATAGGGCGCTCATATTCTTGTGGGGTTTACCATTCACCTGTAACGTTGTTACTATACAATTGAACATGGAAATGTAAAACTGGAAAAATTGTAAACTTAAGGTGAAGTGAAACACGTCGATTAACTTGATCAACGTCGATAAAGACGATTTTTCTAAATGCCTACGTTGCCGACGTTCGTTTTTATATTCACAGCTGGGTCGAATTATATTGTGTATTATACCAAATGGCATATTCCACCTGTCGTTTTCGTACAATAATTATGAAGAAATCGAAGTAAAACTCCAGAAATCCTCTGGATTCATGCCTTCTGGGGCCCTAATTGACTGCAGAGGGACCCTCTGCGTCATCTGTGATTTCCAGGTCAATTAAGTCTTCACTCCGAGACCTCGTATTACCATCGTTTTGGCATACAAGCGCGTACAACACTTTTTTTTGCCTTTATCCCGTTAAAATACGAGTTTATCGATTACCAGAGTGTTCTAAATTCTCGTAAAATTGTCCTGACCCTTTCGATTCTCATATCAGAGCCTTCGATAATTGTATATTGATCAAAATATGAAAGCTCGACGCCATTTTGGTTCTGGTCTGGACTGAGTTAACAAATTTTTTTGAAAGATCCAAATTTTTAATGTGTCAGGACAATTCTTAGCTGATCAGGAGTGACGTGTCAAAGTTTTGGACAGTTTGGTCTAATACCCTTAAAAAAAAGTGTTGTATTCGAATCAACTGATTTGAAGGGGGTTTCACTTCACCTTAAGGGCACTTACAGAGTACGTATTACTCATGGGATATTCGAGAGTTTCACTATACACATGAACAAAACTTTTCTCGGTAATTTCCACACGAATCTGTAATGCTCAAGTACTATAGTGTTTTAAATTGTTCTACATAGGATGTGAAAGTGTTCATTTTTTAATTATAAGCTTTCAAAAAACATAGAATGTAAAAAATATGTGTTCTCGATTTAAGTTTGGGATAAAATAAACATTTCTGTTTGAAAAATGAAACTTCATGAGTATCACGTTCTTCCTTAGGACTTCCAAAATCACGTACTAAAGTTTCAAATGATTTGATGCGCTCAATTCACAGAAATGTTTTATAAACTTTTCAATACTTCAGAGGTTATTTTCATATCACCTTAAGTCAAAATACAGATGCCGCAATGATCGGTGATTATAAAATGTGTCAACCGATCCGTGTTTATGATGACACTGTACTTACTATCGCATTACTATTTCGGAATCGAAAGCCAATCACTAACTTTCAAAGACTAATATTTCGCTTCGTTGACAAGTGTTATTCCCACTGGGATTTTCACATGCTGCCCTCACCTCTGACATTACACTTCTATAATGGCCTGTTTGCTTTAACCGGTCCCTTAAATTTATTGTGTAAAATAACATTAAACCCTGCTCTGTTTGTGAGAACAGTGACATTCTTCTAAATTATAATCGCAACTAAAGATTTCACATGCATAAGGCGAAAACAGAAGAAAAAAAGCCTATTTCCGGTATTTCTGAAAGCGTCAACTACATGTTGCAAAGCCACGGCATCAGGGTTCGTAATACAAGTTGTGTTGCGAATTTCATGCATTGCCGCTTCGTTTCGCTTGAATTTGCCTGATCGCCATTGTACGTGCTCATAATACACCTCGTCTTAAAATAATCATATTATAATGAATAATGACGTCCACTATCAACTATGAAACGAATCAATGCAATCCACATGACGATCCTGTGCACCGCCCTGGGACTCACCCAGATGCCGCCAGGGTAGGTCCGATTCGCCCTCCTTGTTTATGGAAGTTGCGTGGAAGACTCGTGCTACGAAATCTAATAAATCCATCATAACGGTACGTTTCTTTAAGCAAAACAGAATATTCCCCAACATCTTGTCTTCTTAATGAGGACAATGTAATAATCAGTATGTCCAATAACACATTCTACAACTACTTTAAACGATTAAATTACGAGTATCCTGGATACGATTAGAAAAAAACATTATATACACCAAACATATGTACTTATATTTCAGG